AGCAGCAGCAGCAGCAGCAGCAGCAGCAGCAGCAGCAGCAGCAGCAGCAGCAGCAGCAGCAGCAGCAGCAGCAGCAGCAGGGGGGAGGACTCTTTGTTGCGTTTGTTTCGTTCGGAGTTGTTTGACGCGCACTTTCACCTTTTTTATCTTTTCCACAAACCCGAAGAAGAAGTCCAAAAGTTTCTCGTCAATTTGCTCTTCAGCAAACGCAGCCTCCACGAAGTCAACTTCTACCTCCCCCAGCTCTGCCAGCTCGCGCTGCAGCGGTCTGCTGCTGCTGCTGCTGCTGCTGCTGCTGCTGCTGCTGCTGCTGCTGCTGCTGGGGGGGGGTTTGTTGCTGCTGCTGCTGGGGGTTTTGTTGCTGCTGCTGGGGGTGGGGGGGGTGTTGTTGTTGCTGTTGTTGTTGTGGGGGTGGCAGGGCTGCTGCTGCTGCTGCTGCTGCTGCTGCTGCTGCTGCTGTTGGTGTTGGTGTTGGTGTTGTGGGGGGCTGCAGGGCTGCTGCTGCTGCTGCTGCTGCTGCTGCTGCTGCTGCTGCTGCAGGTTTGGTCGCTCGCCGCTGGACCGCTTTTTGCTGGACGTCTGCAGCACTTATATTCACTTCGCCCTCAGAGCTGCCTGGCTCTTCCAGAGCTTTGTCGAAGACAAAATACCAGGTCTGCTGCTGCTGCTGCTGCTGCTGCTGCTGCTGCTGCTGTTGCTGCTGCTGCTGCTGCTGCTGCTGCTGCTGCTGCTGCTGCTGCTGGTGCTTTTGCTGCTGCGCATCTTGTTGCAAGAGCAGCAAGATGCGCAGCAGCAGCTGCTGCTGCTCTTCATGATTGTGCTGTTTGGCTTACTGCAGCTGCGGCGGCGAATGCTGCTGCTGCTGCTGCCGCGCATGTTGTTCCTGCTGCTGCCAATATATTGCTGCTGCTGCATATTTTGCTGCTGCCGCACATATTGCTGCTGCTGCTGCTGCTGCTGCTGCTGCTGCAGGCGAAGCTGCCTTCGGTGTACGCGAAGCTGGGGAATCCGCTGGCGCTGACGACGCTGTCTCCGCCGAACCTTTGCTGCGGCTGCTGCAGCAGCAGCAGCAGCAGCAGCAGCAGCAGCAGCAGCAGCAGCAGCGGGCGTGCGGGGTGTACGGACAGCTGCGTGGCAGTGGAGCTGCACCAGTTCGTCATGAAGCAAAGAAGATGTGATTATTTTAATTCTTTAAATCATTTTATTTCTTTGCTCATTGATGCCAGCACTTTGCTGGCAGCAGAACCCGACAGGACCATCAGGTAACGCTGCTGCTGCTGCTGCTGCTGCTGCTGCTGCTGCTGCTGCTGCTGGGGTTGTGCTGCTGCTGCTAGTGCTGTGCTGCTGCTGCTGCTGCTGCTGCTGCGGCTAGTACTGCTCCTGCTGCTAGTGCGGCTGCTGCTGCTGCTGCTGCTGCTTATGGTATTGCTGCTGGTGGGCCTCTTTATGCTGATACTGCTGCCGCTTCTGGTGGCTGGTGCTGCTGCTGCAGCTTGTGATTGCGCTGCTGCTGCTGCTGCTGCTGCAAATATTTTTGCTGTTTTTGCTGCTCCTCCCAGTTCTTGTATTTCTGCTGCTGCTGTGCAAATGCAATTGCACTTATGTGTTTACATTTGGAATATAAATATGCGTTGCTGCTGTTAATGGCGATACGGCTGCTGCTGCAGTAGCAGCAGCAGCAGCAGCAGCAGCAGCAGCAGCAGCAGCAGCAGCAGCAGCAGCAGCAGCGTCTGGCGGGCGCAGCTGCTTGCAGCAGCACCGCGTCTTCCGCTGCTTTCATCGGGTCGAATTAAAAAGAAAAATAAATAAATAAATAAATAAAATTAATTAATTAATTTAATTAATTAATTAATTAATTAATTAATTAATTAATTAATTTGCTTCTCAGGCCCTCGCTGCTGTACACTCTCTGCGAAAACCTCAACTCCTGGCTGCTGGCGCGGCGGCTGTTTGTTGCTGCTGCTGCTGGCGACTTTTCTTTGGCGGGATTAACAGTTCCTTTAGAACAAATAGGAGCAGAACCCATGCACAGCAGCAGCAGCAGCAGCAGCAGCAGCAGCAGCAGCAGCAGCAGCAGCAGCGGCGGCGGCCGGGGCCGGCTGGGGCACGGCAGGCGCGTCTTTCCCGCCACAAACGGCAGCAGCAGCAGCTTTCCTGCTGCTGCTGCACCAACAGCAGCAGCAGCAGCAGCAGCAAGACCTGCAGTGCAGCTGCTGCGCATCGAAAGCAGAGACAGCAGAACTCTCAGCTCCAAGAAAAGGGCCCCTTATCTCCTCATTATTGAAGTCTGTAATCTAGATGAGGTAACCCTGCTGCTGCTGCTGCTGCTGCTGCTGCTGCTGCTGCTGCTGCTGCTGCTGCTGCTGCTGCTGTTGCTGCTGTTTGTTGCGCTGCTGCAGGTGCGACTGGTGCGGTGGCAGCAGCAGCTGCTGCTGCTGCTGCGCTTTTCGGTAGCTGTTGCTGCTGAGACTGCAGCTGCGGCTGCTCAAACTGCTGCTGCTGCACTTGCTGCTGCACTTGCTGCTGCTGCTGCTGCTGCTGCTGCTGCTGCAGGATTTGGAGCAGTTTTCTGATGACCCTGAGCTGCAAAAAGAAGAAGTGAAAACGAAGTCCCTCTTTGTCTACAACTGCATTCTCAAGGAGCTTAAGGTGACCCAAACCCTAAACCCTAAACCCTAAACCCTAAACCCTAAACCCTAAACCCTAGTTTTGCATTGTTACTTGAGGGCCAGTTTAAGCGCCCTGATTAAGCCTGGTCATAGGGGAAGTGGGAAGCATCAAACCCTAAACCCTAAACCCTAATTCTATTTTCTAAACCCTAAACCCTAGTTCCAGTTCCTAAACCCTAGCTCCAATCCCTAAACCCTAGCTTTGGTCGCAGCAACCCTGCCTGCAGCTGCTTGGGCTTAGGGTTTAGGGTTTAGGGTTTAGGGTTTAGGGTTTAGGGTTTGTAGCATCCGCAGCAAACCCTAAAAGGTGGTTTTGTTTTATTTTTCAGCAAAGGAAATTGCTGCCTCCAAACTTCCAGTCGGATGAAGATCCCTTAACAATAATTCGGAGGGTTTTGGGAATGCTGCATCCGCCTGCTGCTGCTGCGGCTCCCCGTTGCTAGCGACGCCCCCTGGAGGCCGCAGTCGCCGCCCCCAGCAGCAGCAGCAGCAGCAGCAGCAGCAGCAGCAGCAGCAGCAACACCTGGAACAGCAGCAGCAGGAACTCCAGCAGCAGCAGATGCAGGGTCGCCAGCAACAACAGCAGCAGCAGCAGCAGCAGCTCTCACCTTGTCTGAAAACCATTTCGAAAAAACAGCAGCAGCAGCAGCAGCAGCAGCAGCAGCAAAGACGCAGCCCAAGACAAACTCCCTTTGGGTATTTCCTGGCCTTTTTGCTGCTGCACTTATTTTAACTATTTAATTTAATTATTTAATTAATTAAATAATTAATTAATTTATCAAATTATTTAATTATTTTAATTATTTTAATTAATTAATTAAATTTAATTATTATAAATTAATGATTTAATTATTATTTGTTTTCTTTTTAGCATTTGTTATGTCCCCAGAAGTTGCATGCGCTTCTCCATTTTTGCAGTTTATTATTTTTTAATTAGTCATTTGTTTATTTATTTATTTATTTGTTTGTTTGTTTGTTTATTTTTTTATTATTTATTTATTTATTTATTTATTTATTTATTTATTTATTTATTTATTTATTTATTTATTTATTTATTTACTATTTATTAATGTGTTTGTTATTTATTCTCATCATTATTCTTTGGCATTATTTAATTGTTTGTTATTTTATTAATTTCTTTGTTGTTTATTTTTTTATTCCAGTAACAACTTCAATATTTAATTAAACCTTTATTTTTTCTGCATTGCTTATTTAGTTTTACTTATTTATTTATTTATTTATTTATTTATTTATTCATTTATATGTTTATTTGTTTATTTATATCTTCATTTGTTCATTTATTATTTCATTAATTTTAAATTTGCATATTTACTCTTTTGGTTGTTAGCTTGCCCTTATTTAGTTTTATTTATTTATTTATTTATTTATTTATTTATTTATTTTTTGTTTATTTGTTTATTTATTTGTTCATTTGTGCTATTGCCATTGATTTAATTTAATCAATTAAATCTCACCATTAATTTAATATAATTACTTTTAATTTAATTTAATTTAATTTAATTTAATTTGATCTAATCTCTACACTGCTTGAACTTGATTCGTCATTATTTAATTAATTTAACCTGATTTAATTTAATTAAATGATCAACACGAATTATTATTTTAATTAAAAAAGATCAATTTAATCTAACCGATTCAATTTAATTTAATTCCATTAATTGAATCTAGTTCTTCATTATTTAATTAAACTAATTCAAATTAAATTACTTAATTAAATTAAATTAAATCAATTCAAATTAAATCAAATCAAATTAAATTAATTCAAATTAAATTAAATTAAATTAAATTAATTCAAATTAAATTAAATTAAATTAAATTATTTATTTATTTTATTTTTTTATTTTCTTTTTAGGGAGAACTTTGGGCGGCTCGCCGCGAACGGCTGCGGCGGCGAAGTCCTTATGGCAAACTCAAGTCTTGGGATTTGAAATGTAAATTCTTTTTTAATTAATTAACTATTTATTTATTTATTTATTTATTTATTAAATTCAATTAATTTGATTATTTAATTTAATTAATAATTTACTTAATTTAATTCAAATTAATTTAATTTGTTTGATTATTTAATTTAATTAATAATTTACTTGATTTACTTTGAATTAATTTAGTTAATTTGATCAGTTAATTTAATTAATGATTAAATTTAGTTAATTTAGTTTAATTTAGTTAATTAATTAATGCAGTTTGATTTGATAAATTAATTAATTAATTACATTCAATTTAGTTAATTTAATTGGATTTGATTTAATTTTTCTATCTACTTCACTTAATTACTTCAATTTACTAGGATTTACTTTGTTTAGTTTGATTTAATTTATTTGATTTGATTTGATTTGATTTGAATAATTTAATCAAATAAGTAATTTAAATAAAATAAATGAATAGATAACTAATATGAATATGAATTATTTCAATTCAATTAATTTTATCGAATTCATTTGATTAAATTTGATTCGTTTTAATTTAATTTAATTTAACTAATTTAGTTTACAAACAACAAAAGAATAATTAAACAAATGATTGAAACAAAGAAAAGAAATAACTTAAATAAAATAAATAATTTAAATAAATGAGTAATTTAAATAAAATAAATCAATAGATGCATAATTTGAATGAATAAATAATTTACACAAATATATGATTTTTAAAAAAATTAATTCAAGCAAATAAATAATTTTAATAAATAAACAAATAAATAAATGATTTAAATAAATAAATAATTTAAATAAATGAGTAATTTAAATAAATACACAATTCTAATAGAAAAACAATTTAAATAAATAAATAATATAAATAAATAAATAAATAAATAAATTCATAAATAAATAAATAATTTAAATAAATAAATAAATAAGTAAATAAATAATTTAAATAAATAAATAAATAAATAAATAATTTATTTTTTTCTGCAGGCATTCTGGTAAAGGGCGGAGATGATTTAAGACAAGAACTTTTGGCCTCGCAATTAGTGCAGCAATTCAAAACCATTTTCGAAGAAGCAAAACTCCCTTTGTGGCTGAAACCCTACGAAATTCTGGTCACAGGGGCGAGCTCGGGTAGGGTTTAGGGTTTAGGGTTTAGGGTTTAGGGTTTAGGGTTTAGGGTTTGGGGTTTGGAGGGGGCTTAGGTCTTTGGTAGTGCAGCAATTCAAAACCATTTTCGAAGAAGCAAAACTCCCTTTGTGGCTGAAACCCA